GCGCGGACTCGCCAGCACCAGCCCTACACATAGATGGCCTCCCTTCATCCTCGCTGAAGCCCTGGAGAAAGGCACCCTTGCTGTCTAGCTCTGCACCGTGGAGAGGCTCAGTGGTACTTCACCTTCAGCTTGGACATAGAGTAGCCCAGATTCAAGTCCAGTCAGGGGTCAAGACTGCACCTTCCGCCAATTCTTCCCCACTTCTCTCTGTGGCTACTCAGTGGCCAGGGTTGCTGGCCCTCCTAGGGGGGTGTGGGGTGGGGGGTGGGCTCTCAGGGCCTTGAAAGCTTTAGGCAACACTCTCTCCATCCCCTTCCTCCAGGGCCTAAAGGCCTTTCCCTCTGTTTTGCTTTGCATGGCTGCTTGAGCACCTTTTCCTGCAGACTCATGGCTCACTCGTCTGCTTCCATCACCGTGGTCCCACCAGGTATCCTAAAGCAGCAGCAGAGACCCCACGTCTAGCACAGGTCAGCGCTCCTCCTCCCCCGCAGTAGGACTGAAGGAGGCTTCAGGCCTTCTACTACCGAACTAGTCTGCTTCAGGGACTCTAGCATACATTTTATATTTTTGTGCACGTAAATGGGCTTTCTCTCACACCATCTCTCCATTCTCCTCTATAATTTATGACTGTGCTGGCAACTCTTTGCTCCTTAATCACCCTGACTCCTGGCTCTAACACTGTGCCAACTGTATTCTTTCCATTTTAAAAAGGAACCACTTGTTTGTTTTATATTTATTACTTTATATTTCATTTATTACCCTAAAGCTACATATGAGATCTTTCGTTCCATAAGGTGCCTGAGAAACATGAGTGCTGTTTATTCTTTGGCAAGATGCTAAGAATTTCTATGGACTCAGAATTACAATGGAGAAAAGAAATGTCATGGACATTTTTTGCACTTGGAAAGTGTTTTCAGCTTTTGTTATAGCCTCAAGATTTATACCTTTGGATAAGCAAACCATGGTGCATTAACGTGATGCATCACCATATGGCTATTTGAAATTACAGGCACAAGATCTGCGGTCTTACACACAAATGAGCACATGGAAACACCTTTGGTACCACATGCACAGTGAGAAATCACTAAGGCATAGGTTAGACTGTGTGGTGATAAAAATTAACAAATAATTATTTTGAGAAATATAAAAGGATGGATTTTGGGGTAGCTTTGTATTCTATAAAAGTGAACATATTTGGATATAAATAGATAAGGTCCATACACAGAAAAAATTCAGCTTTTGTCTTGCTGTCTCTGTCTTAAATCAGACAGTAATTCTCAACTAGTGTTACTGCTTTCTTGTAGATACATTGAGTTAATAAAAAGTTAGCCTCCCCACAACCATGACCCGTCAGGATGCTCAAGAGTAAAGAAGTGCTACTAGAATGTCTTTTTGCCACTACATTAGGCTTACTTGATTTTTCATAACGGACTATCTTGATGGACTTCCAAAGCCAATTGTAAACTTCTCTTACAGGAGTAGACGGTTAAGCTAGGATGCCTAATTTGTGTCATGTTTAGGACATGTCCTGATTTATAGGACATGGCTTATGCCACCCTTCCTGGTTGGTGATCCTTCTTATTGGACCATTTCATGTGCTCCTAACTAGTGTGTAAACCCCTGGCTGTCAGTTTCCTGTGGCTGCTGTAACAAAATACCGCAGACCCTGTGGCTTATGCCAGAAACGTATTATCTCACAGTTCCTGAGGCTAGAGCGGAAATGGAGGAGTCAGCAGGGTCGTTTCCTCTGGAGGCTCTGAGGCAGAGACTATTCCCAGCCTCTCCTGGCTCCTGGTGGTCGCTAGCAAGACTCACTGTTCCTCTGCCTCACTCTATTCTCTGCCTCCATCTTCACCTGGCATTCTCCTCTATGTCTGTCTCTGTGTCAACGATTTCCTCTTCTGGTCACAGGGTGATAGCCCACCCTAATCCAGTATGACTTTGTTTTAACTTGAGTATACCTCCAAAGGCCCTACATCCAAATAAGGTCATAGGCATAGGTACCATGAGTTAGGACTTGAACATGTCTTCTTGGGGACTCAGTTCAGCTCACAACAACCAGCAAGGCCGAGGCTACATTTCGCTGTGCTTGTTCATTCATTTACTCATTCATCTAATATGATTAAGGGAGAACCTATTATGTCAAGAGCCCTGATGGTGACCCTGGGGCAATGGCAGACTTTCCCCAGAATCGAGAATAAGGCAGAGTCTCTCACCTCTTTGAACTTACATTCTAATGGAGGAGATCAACTATCAACAGGGAATTAAACACAAAGTCCACATTTCAAGTGATGAGCGGAGTTGAGGAGAAAGCAAAACAGGGAAATGGGACGGAGAGCGACGGGCAAGGTTGGGGCACACCTCAGAATCTCCACCCTGTGTCTTTCTTTGTAGAAGTTTGTAGTTAAATGAGAGGACCAAGGATCAAATAAGTAGATAAGTCAGTATTACAGGACAGCTATGGTCAATGTTTGGGGGACTAGAACGTGGACTTAGCCAAGCCAGGGAGGTCCAAGCACAGGGCCCTGAAAACTGGACCTAACAGAACTAATGGGGATGCCACGTGTTTCCCCGCAACCCCACGCTGTCCCTCTTTGCTCTAAATGGTGCCCAGGATCTCTCTGTGATGTGCCAAGCATTTCCAACCCAACTTTGAGTTTCAGGAAATGCTCTTAGATATTTGCCTTTAGCATTATCAGCTTCTAGACACAAAGTCCCATATTAAACATTATGAATGCCAGCCCTTAATACATCATTTAAAATGTTAAAAGCATCCTTTGCAAAACGGTTCTCCCATTCTGTAGGTGGTCTGTTTACTCTGTTGATAGTTTCCTTGGCATCTGACAAAAATCTAATATCTAGTATTTATAAGGAACTTAAATTTACAAAAAAAAAAAACATTAAAAAGTGCACACGAAGAACATGAACAGACACTTTTCTAAAGCAGATATACTTATGGCCAACAAGCGTATGAATAAAACATCACTAATTATTAGAGGAATGAAAATCAAACCCACAATGGGATACCATTTCACACCAGTCAGAATGGCTGTTATCAAAAAGTCAAAAAACAGCAGATGCTGGTGAGGTTGCAGGAAAAAAGAAGGAGCATGCATACACTGTTGGTGGGAGTATAAATTACTTCAGCCGTTGTGAAAGACAGTGTGGTGATTCCCCAAAGAGCTAAAAATAGAAATATCATGCAAACCCAGCCATTCCATTACTGGGTATATACCCAAAGAAATAGAAATCATTCTACCATGAAGACATATGTATACGTGTGTTCATTGCAGCAGGATGCACAGTAGCAAAGACGTGGAATCAACCTAAATGCCTATCAGTGGTAGACTGGATAAAGAAAACATGGTATGTATACACCGTGGAATACTATGCAGCCACAAAAAAGAATGAGATAATGTCCTTTGCAGAAACATGAATGGAGCTGGAGGCCATTATCCTTAGCAAGCTAACAAAGGAACAGAAAACCAACACTGCCTGTTCTCACTTATAAATAGGAGCTAAGTGATGAGAACACATGGACACACAGAAGGGAACAATAGACACTGGAATCTGTCAGAGGGTGAAGGGTGGGAAGAGGGAGAGGATCAGGAAAACTGAGGATCAGGAAAACCTAATAGTGGGTATTAGGCTTAATACCTGGGTAATGAAATAATCTCTACAACGAACATCCATTACACAATTTACCTATATAACAAATCTGTAGGCGAACTTAAAATGAAAGTTAAATTATAATAATAATAACAGTAATAGAAGGAAAGGAAAAACTATTAAAAGCAAACAAGCAACGAGTGAGCCCCGAATGTTTGTTTCCATCCTTGCACAGATCATGCCATGATCATCACTAGGCCCTCCCTGCTCAAAGTGTGGAAGCCCAAGGGACAGCCTCATGGGCCTCACCTGGAGCTTGCTAGAAATGCAAGGCCCCGCCCTGACCTACTAAAACAGAATCTGCATTTTTACCAAGATCCCTACTGATCTGTTTGCTCGTTAAAGATTGAGAAGGCTATCTCAGGGTCACCTTATGACTACTCTAGATTCCTTCTTTGTAACAGACACAGCAAATTCTGCACAGAAGCGGGGCATGCATTTATATAGGTAAGGAAGACCTAGAGAGTCATCTTTGCATGTTCATTGGAGTTTTAGAACAATTTTTACCTGTTTAAAAATTAGAGATTCAGAGCCTATTGATGAGTTGAGGGTATATGTTTTATTGCTTATATAAGTACTTTGAGGTTATTACAGAAAAGTTCATATAGTACTTTTTTTGAATGTTAATCAACGTCTTTCCACCCTGAAAGAGTTAATGAACAAATGCACAGCCAAGCAGTCCTGAGAACCAAGCCCAGTTCCCAGCAGCTCCATTCCACTGAAGTCAAAATAGGACAAATTTTGACTACCTAAAGACTCCCTATTATGTTAGATGGGTAACGCGATACATGGTTTAGGGCGTTTTTCTTTGTAATTTCCTTTTCTGGTTTAGAACCTGAATTTCAGCTTTATAGCAAACCACACTATTGGAGCGACGAAATCATAAAGAATACTTGCACTCACAATGAGACATTGTCAACAGGTATGCATTTGGTCATTCATCAGTTATTGGGCAACCCATTGGGTCTGTCATGGCTTGTCTCCATATTTCAGATGTCACTCATAACAAAATAAATTAGCCCATTTTCTAAACATTCTGTGACCCTATCCCCAAATGCTTTCAGATATCCTCATCATGCTAGGACACTAGTCATTAGAATAAAGACCTATAGCAGCTCACATCAATTGCAGAAATCATTACAAAGCCAAAGTTCACCACTCTAAAAGAAGATTACAAAAGTCTCATGCCTACTTGTAAAACTTGTCACAATGTATAATTTCTCAATCTCCCAGTACCTGGCACAAAGTCAGCTTAAATAATGCTCACCAAATACAACAGTCTTGCAAGAGCTCTTAAATCCAAGCTTAGAATATACCAGATTTTAGATATCGTGAAAGACAGTGTTGTTTCTCGATCCACAGGGCGGTGAATATATATCCTTCCATTCTCATGATCTTCTAGAGAAAACAAACCAATCTCTGTATATTCATCCACACCGGGTCCACTGATTAGATACATTAGTGACATGTTATCAGACATATTATTGAACAGCTGGAAGAAGGAAAATGGAAGAAGAAAAAAGGAGGATGAGAATAAACCGCCATGATAATCAAGTATCAAGGCTAAGAACCAATGGCATCTTTAAGAAATTATACCCAGCAATGGCACATCTGAGAATTTATACAAAAGAAATAAACAGATAGGCAGAGATGGAGGAACGATGGTGTGGGCTGCAGTTTGGTCTGTAATAGTGAAAATTTGGAAATAGCATAAATGTTCATTGACATGAAAAAAATAATAGAATGATACTCCCTACACTTAGCATGGGATACTGTGTAGCCTTTAAAGATGTATCTACACTGCCACGGAAAAACAGGCAGGACAAGAGAGGCAAGCAGAACAACACACCAAGTGTAATCTCATTTCTTTGATGCAGATTCACATCAGAAAATCTATAGAGAAATATCTGGAACCATATGTACCAATTTGTTAATATCGATTATCCCTTGAAGGAAAGAGAAGTAGTGATCACACAGCTAACATTCAGAAAGAGCTTAGAATGAGCAGACCAACAATATGCCTTGCTTGCCTTAACCTATTTAATCTTTAAAACATCTCTGAAATGTAGACAATATAACTGACCCCATTGTGCAGATGAGGACACATGAAGAATCCCTAACCCAGCAAGGATGTGGTGCAGTAGGTATATGAACCCACTGACTCTTAGAAGTATACACTTTTAGCCACTGAGACTTGAAAACTTTCTGTCCTCTTTGTGTTTTTTGTTTGTCTGTTTGTTTTTTACAGTAGGCATCCATCATTTCCATAAATATTGCAAAAATACAAGATAGTTTTAATTTTTTCTAAGAATCATAGAATGTCACAACTATAGCAGACCTTAATCAGTACATAATTCAAAGGCCCATTGGTACCAGGAAGGTAGTGGAAATAAACAACCTGGGCCTGGTGTAAAGATTCTGCCATTCCAATATCATGTGACTTCTTCAAGGGGCTGCTTGCCCTCAGCATGAGGGAGGCAATGGGGAATAGTGGAGACTGCGGTATTCTGAGTAACTGAAGCCCCACCTAATTGTTGTCATGTGGAAATGTGGATTTCATGTGGCCAGAACTTCCAATTTTTTAAAATCTCAAGGAGGGTAAAATTTTTAATACAGTCTCTCTATTTTTAAATAATATATTTTTTTAAAAAAGCCTCTGCGTGGGCCAAATAAAGCAGACCTGTCAGTTGGAATTAACCACCCTGTTGCTGTATGTGATTCTCATCAGACACTCACATGGAGAAGTGACTTGCTCAAAGTCACATACCCAGGTAGAGGTAAAGTGAGTTCTGGAACCCAGGCAACCTGAACCCCAGGCCAGTGCTCCTTCTGCTCTGCTTCACTTCCTGGCCTCACTAGCACACAGCCTTTCAAGACAGTCTTCCTGGCCAAATGGGTACGCTGACTCAGAGGGCATGATGGGGTCATTCCTTACGAGTAGGCACCTTACCTCACCAATGAGTTTGGGAAAGGGTCCTGGGTCTTCTACCTCCAGCTCCACGGTGGTGATAACCCATCTTCTCTTGGATCGCCGTAGAGTCTGGTAGCTCTTTCCCTGGAAATGATAGCGACAATGATGACAAAAAGGATGGCAGTGATGCTCGCAGCCAGGATTGATCACACCCTTACTTCATATAGAGGCCCTGGGCTGACACTTGGCCTGCATTGTCTCCTCATCCCCACAACAGTCACCTAAGTTTGGAAAATGCAAGCACCTCTCCTCTTAATAGCTCTAGAGTCATCTCTAACCACAGGGGCAGATGCCACCCAATGATTTTACGTGGTTCTTGAGATAATTTTAGGAGCTCTCCAGACATAGTATTAAAGATCACTGCTATGTGCCAATGCTTGTCCTATTGTAGACATGCAAACAGTTGTTGAGAAAGTTTTCCCGTTTCCATTTATCTCTCAGTCTTCCTGAGATTATTGATGATTAGGTGCTAATAGACCTTTAATGCCTCTCTGTCCACAAATATTCCTTTTAACAAATGTGCAGACATATATACAAAGAGAAAGAGAGTGACTTAGACTCAGATCTTGGGCTCAGATATTTGTCAGGTAAGAGAATATATGAAATTTAAAGCATTGTTTTGTTTACATTATATATTTATACAGTTGCCATCTATTACAAGTGAAGCTGGTTTTAGCCACATTAACTTCATCAACAAAAATGCAAATTCTTTTTTAAAAAATTACTTTATGATAAAGTGAATTGATCAAGAGAACAATACCAAGTAAATAATCCCAGCGTGGCATGGGGATATGGCACAATCCCACAGTGGTGGGTGCATGACTGCTGCAATGTAAAATATTAAGTCCAATATATTTTCATTCCATTAAGAAGAAAATGAGGTGGACAAACCTCCAAGCTGGTGCTGTACAGTTGAATTTTGATGTTTGCAGGCTGCTCATATTCTAATTAGACATAAAAGCATCATCTGCAACTCCCTGGCAGTCCCTCAAGATTCTAAGGCCACATGTAGTTACTATTTTCTTTTCTGCAAACCAAACATTGGCAGGGCACTAAAGAACTCCAAGCTGCAATTCTGTCTCTAAGTCAAGTGTAGAGACTGATTTTATATATTAAGAAACTGACTTCCAAACCTCACTTTTGTTTGCTTAGTAAGATCATCTTTTTCTTGTTGGATACTGTTAACAACACTGACCTTAAAATGATGTTAATAGTAGAGAATATACTTATCAGAATCACATAGGCACTGCCTGGAGTTGCACAAATAGAGAATCACAAATGACAAAAAAGAACTTCTGCATTTAGTTTTGGTAAATGTAATTTCTTATCCTCTACATCTTAATTCATGATTACCACTTATCTTCTCTAACTCTAGGAGAAATAACCAAAAGAATTCTGATTTATTATTCGAAATGGTAGGGAGACATTTAAAACCATAAAACACTACTGTCAATTAACAAAAGTAAGAAGTAGAACTTCTTTATTCAGGATGAGCACAGATGAATTTAGTACACGTGTAAAATAACACCAAATGTTAGTTGGCAATGGGGTTTAAGTGGGTTTTTCTTTTGTTTTTTGTTCCTGATTTCTAAGACATTATTTACCTTAATTAATAAAATAATAAACATACGCTTTATATTTACATAATGGATTACAGTGGTAATTACTTATTTATAATTTATATCTCAACAATCCTTTCCCTTCCTCCAAAAAATACATGTACAAGACTGTTGAAATAGAAAGACATAAGTCAGCCAGGCATAGTAGCTCACATCCGTAATCCCAGCACTTTGGGAGGCCGAGGCAGGTGGATCACCTGAGGTCAGGAGTTTGAGATCAGCCTGGCCAATATGGTGAAACCCGTCTCTACCAAAAATACAAAAATTAGCCAGGCGTGGTGGCACGCACCTGTAATCCCAGCTACTCGGGAGGCTGAGACAGAAGAATCACTTGAACCCGGGAAGTGGAGGTTGCAGTGAGCCCAGATTGCACCAGTGCACTCCAGCCTGGGCAACACAGTGAGACTCTGTCTGGAAAAAAAGAAAAGAAAAGAAAAGAAAGAGATAAGTCCTCAATGTATGGTTAGAACCAGCAGCAAACAAAAGTGTGGGAGTGGGGAGGGAGAGAGAAAGTGTGCACACAGGGTGACTTGGGTAAAGCAGATGGGCACAAAGTATAAATAATTGGTGAATTTTCATACACGGTATTTTGGAATTCTTTGTATTTTCCTTAAATCTTACAAGTTTTATATTAAAACAAAAAGTTATCAAAAAAGACAACTTCAGGAACTAACATTGGGTATTTAACTTGGCACTAAGATCCTTACCAATTATAATAAAAAGGGAAAGTCTCTCTTTAAAAATGAAACATATTTAATAAAACCTTTTCTTGTATATAGTCTTCCTATTTAAAAGAAAATTTGATAGCAAAACACTTTGAGCATACAGAATGACATAATGACGCCCATCACCAAGTTCTATCAAACCTTAATACTTTTACCCTATTTGCGTCAAAGTGTTGAGATGTAAATTGTTACAGATAAAACTGAAACTTCCTGTGTAGCTCTCCCTCATCTCACTTTTCCTTCAGAACTAACTCTTACCCTAAATTATATTTAGCATTCCAATGCACGTTTTTAAACCTTCACAATATGGATCTGCGTATAGAGATACGGCTTTATATTCGTAACAATGTGTCATTTTTATGGTTTTGGATTGGACTTTTAAATAATGGTTCACAGTAAGCACCATCCCATAACTTATTTTTTAAATTTATCTTTTGTTGCATTTTGGGGGAGGATGTGTGTGTTAAGACCTACAGTTCTAGTCCATTCATTTTCATTGCTATAGAGCATTTTACTATATGAATTGGCAAAACTCCATTTGTCTGTTCTTCTAGTGATGATCTCCTAGGTTGGTTCCAGTTTTTCATTACCAAAAATGCTGTGGTAATAAACATCCATGTATATATTAAAAATCTCTCTCTGGCAGCAATTTTCAAAGTATGGGTTCCACAGCCCTGTAAGAGAGTCCACAAGTCCAAACTCTTTCATAAGAACGCTAAGGCATTGTTTGCCTATTTTGCTGTCTGACATTCGCACTGATGGTGCAAAACAACAACATTGGTGGGTGAAATTGACGATGCCTCAGCACAAATGAAGGCACTGGTACCAAACTCCCCACTGTATTCTTCACCACCACGCACTTGCAGAAAAACAAAAAAGAAAGAAAGAGAAAACTAGTTTCATTTAAAAATGAAATAATTGGTGAATTTACTCAATTACTGCAATTGCTTGAAAACTGATGAAGGAGTAAAAATATTAATTATTTTAAATTGCAACACTCGAGTGTCCATCTTTTAAATACGCTTTGTGAGTGGATGGAAAGTAAGTACCAAGCTGCTGCTGTATATCAAGGCAAAAGGTTTATTCCAAAGAAAAGTACTGTGTGATTGCTTGAGTTTCCAGCTGAAAAGGCCTCTTTCTTTTTTTTTTTTTTTTAAACAGACCACAATTTTACTTGAAAGAACAACCAACAAATTGTGATGATTCACATCAGGTTATTTGATACATGGTTCTTTGATGATGAACAAAGTGAGTCTTTCACTTCAAGAAAATCAGTCAATGCACAGTATCTGTTCCCAATGATAAATGTAAGCTTTCAAGCAAAAATCCTAATTTTAGAAAACTTAGGTCTGCCAATAGGAGCGTGAAAGCTTCATAATAAGTGAAGATTTTTATGATAATAGCAATAGTGTTTTTTTTAATTTTATAGGCTGAAATATGTCCACATTGGAAATGCCTGCATAACTCAATGAGCCAATGGCTTCCTAATGATCAACATATCATGTTCTAAAATCAAGTGCAGGTGAAAGAGTCATCTAGAGTGCAAGAGAGACTGTGGATTTTAATGGAATGGTGTAGGGAAAGTTCATTGACATAGTATCAGATTCACGTTGCAAATAACTGTTAAGACATTACAATGTGTCGAATTTTGGTATAAAATCAAAGAAAAGTATCCACAGTTATCTATTCCAGGTTATTAAAATATTCCTCCCTTTTCAAATATCTGTGTGAGGCCAGAATTTCTTCATATACTTCAACCAAACAAATTCACAACAGACTGAAGTCAGAAGCAGAGAGGAGAATCCTGCTTTCTTCTTTGAAGCTGGACATTCAAATTATTTGCAAACATATATAGATAGTGCCACTTTTTCCACTAAATGGAATGTTGAAAAATATGGAAGGTTTTCAAGATATGTGTTATTTTTATTAACATAGAATGGGTTTATTATGGTTATGTCCAATGAACTGAGAAATATGTTTAACGTTTATCAGCACATATAACCCACATAAGCTAAATCTCTAAGACTGACACCTAAATCATCAGAGACAGAGTCTCCACCCTGGTTGCCTCGTCCTGGTCAGAATATCTCCTTATTTGAGATCCATCACAATACAAGAGACCATGCATCTGAAAGTGGTTTCATGCAAATGAAGAACATTCTTCATATATTCATTTCTTGTGGTCAGCCACTCTCACGGTGGGTGGGTGATATTATTGGGTTATATTGTTAGCGTCAGGGCTAATGATAATATTTGCATCCTGGCCAGATTATATTTCTATCTATTTACCTGAAGGAGAAGAATGTTCAAACTCTGAATTCTGAAATCTCTGACATTTTTAGACAATGAATGCTTTTTGATTAATGTTGGTAGTTTTAAATTAAAGGCCTACCCAGGTGCATAATTTTTAAATGGAGACAAGTGTAGCTCTTGCAAAAGATAAAGAAATTAATTCTGTTTCTAAAACAGGTGTATTTCCAGGTGGCCAAGGTTGTTAACAAGGACTATATTGAGGTTTCCTGTTCTCTCTGGGCCTCAGTTTCCCCTTCTATAAATTGAGGGTATGAGACAAGGTGTCTTTAAGGGCTCTTTCAACACTAAAGCTCTGTAAATTCATTTGAATAAGATAACATATAAATGGCACAGTGACAGTCGTGTAAGAGCTGGTTGAAGTGTTCAGAAAGAGGCTAGAAATGGTGGGTGTTTATACTTTGCCAGAGATGCCTTAAATTTCACATCA